CATGATCAGAACATTTATGGTAAATGGAAACGTAACAGACAAGAAAAAAAAACGTATGCGAAACTAATCTATTGACTATACTTATTCCATAGATTTTTATTTGATTCAAGCATTAATAAAAATTATATCGATGTATATAGCAAGAACCAAAAAAACGTATCTCAAACTCGGTCAACTTCGTAACATCTGCGTTGTTTCTGTAAAAAAAGAAAAATAGCACCAAGTTATACAGTAATATATTAAAAATAACTAACTTTAATACTAATAAAAATAATTGTTAATAAACTAATGTTATAGTAATTTAAATGACAAATTTGCTGGTTTTTCCAGATACAATGTAAACAAAACAAAATAATAATAATAATAATAATATAAAACATCATATCATATTTTAGTATTTATTTTATTTGCTGTATTTGTTATGTAGTAGAAAGCGTAGGATTCATAAAACGAAAATAAAAACAATAACAAACTTTAATATTAATAAAAATAATTGTTAATAAACTAATGTTACAGTAATTTAAATGACAAATTGGCTGTTTTTTCCAGATACAATGGAAATAAATAACAATAATAATAATAATAATAATAATAATAATATATAACATCATATCATATTTTAGTATTTATTTTATTTGCTGTATTTGTTATGTAGTAGAAAGCATAGGATTCATAACAAAACGAAAATAAAAACCGTCCGATAATATTATTTGATAGTTTAGTAATAATAGTATTAATTTTACTTGCTTTTATATAGTCTGTTGTTACTTATTAGAAATACAACAAAACATAAATAAAAAAAGTCGATTGACGAACTTGCAATGATAATTAGGCTTAGTTATATTAAATTTAGCGTTTCGAAACTCCATTGACGCTCCATACATTTGTTGAAAACAAACCGCGACCGAAATGAAGCGCGACCGAAACGAAGCGCGACCGAAATGAAGTGCGACCGAAATGATCTGTATATCTATGTGCCCTAGCGGCTTGGCAAGGATTTATTTATTTTCAAAGCATAATACACCTTAAAGAGCTACATTAAAAATGATAGGAAATTAAGACAAAACGAATAGTATTAGTTTTTTTAAAGCATTAATAAAATTAGTAATAATAATAATAATAATATTATTATTAATGGATTGCAAGTGTATTTCAGAAGAAAGTGGTGCATGTAAAGCGCCAGGCCTAGGGATTTATCAATCTCAGCTTAGCAAATGTCTTAAGTCAAAAAAGTTAAGATGGCCATAAGCAAATATTTAAGCTGATTTATCAAACCATCTAATAGCAAAATCTTATCTTAAAAATCGTCTTAGATGGCGCATGTGTACAATTGACTTTTTTAATTTTAAGCAATTTTTAAGCTAAGTAATAATGATAATTTGACTAAAAGCAAAAAAAAAATGGAATTAAGATGAATTTAAGTTGATTTCTAGTTTGATAAATCCAGCCCTTGGTCTAAATATTTAGTTCATAATTCCATCTTGAGTACTATTAACCTTGCCCAGGAATTACATTCCTAGGCAGGTGGTTTATCTAGCCCCATGGAAGTTCCATTGCTGCTCACAAAGGAGTCACATTTTGATTGGTTGTCCTGTTCACCGCAATATAACAAATACAGCATCTTACACTACCGGTATGCCAATGAATTTTATTAAGCCATTGAATGCTAGGTTAAGCTATTTCCAAATATTTTTTTTTACTTTGAAAGTCCCTCTTTTGGTTGCTTTGTTTGCTGGTGGTCCTGTACATATAAAAAAGAGTCCTGGCGAAAGTCTAGTTGAGTACACTGGGCCTAATGGCTGATGGCACTGGTTTTGTATTTCTTTAGGTGGCAACCTACATTTAGATCCCCAATTTTGAGGCTAGACCTGTAACCTATGATTGCATATTTGGTATGCTGCTATCTTGACACTCTATCTGGCGTGTCTAGACCAGCCCCCAGCACCATGGTTAAAGTTAAGACTGGTTCATTTTCATTTCATTTCATATTTACTGTATTCAGAATTTATTTGTCCACCTTTAAACAGACATGGAAAACTAATAAGATAAATAAATCAAAGTTACAGATACATAAAATGGTCAAGGGACGACATAGAAACTATAGTTTACTAGAAATTGCAAATTGCAAGTGAAGTGCTGCGAAGTACAACTGCAAATGTTCTTCGAACAAAATTATTTATGCGAGTCAAGTGAAAATAATGAATAAAAATATAACAAATAATATGAGACACGACCCATTGTCTATATTAGAACACTGATGAGCTGACGTAGAAACATAGTAAAAATGAGCGTTGGTACCGTGTATCTACAACAAGTGTCGCCTAAATGTAATAATTAGCACGCTGAAATAGACTAGTAAATAAGTTTAACTGGGTTTGTAAATAATATTGGCCTCAAAATATTGTGGCTGAGACATGGGCCGATTAAACGTAGAAATAGGAAACCTAGAAATTTAGTTAAAACGCTGAATAGTAATACTCGAGCGTCGCAACACGCGGACGTTTGTACGTGTAGGTTAGTCTAGAAACGTCGCTTAAAGTAATTGATTTTACCCGGCAGAACGTAAGAAGGAAACTCCACTCTTCAGTCGTCTTAGGTCCTTGTTTTTTGACAATGACCTTTCAGTGGTCAAATTGCTGTCAAGCATATGAATTAACAACAGACAATGAGTCTGTCACTGTAAATTCCACGTTAAAAATGAAATGAACACAAAATAACATGCACATTTTCGTATAAGGCAAAAAAAAAAAAATTTTTGTGTTGGCCATGTTTTGGTAAAATCCACAAAATGTGTAGGTTGGTAGGAAATATTTTTTTTTTTTTTTGGATTCGCATCACGTACCATCCAGATAAAATAGGCTAGGCCTTGGCCCCTAGCTTGGCCAAGGCTATTCCACACTTACTTGCTCATAAAAAAATATTGTTAGTTTTAGTAAAAAAAAAAGCTAAAATGCCGACCTTGAATTTCGTATGAGTCGGTTGGGCATGGCCAACACAATATTTTTTTTTATTTGGCCTAAATAGTGCATATGAAATGAGTCTGTCACTGTAAATTCCACGTTAAAAATGAAATGAACACAAAATAACATGCACTTTTTCGTATAAGGCAAAAAAAATAATTTTTGTGTTGGCCATGTTTTGGAAAAATCCACAAAATGTGTAGGTTGGTAGGAAATATATATTTTTTTTTTTGATTCGCATCACGTACCATCCAGATAAAATAGGCTAGGCCTTGGCCCCTAGCCTGGCCAAGGCTATTCCAGCCTTATTTGCTCATAAAAAAAATATTGTTAGTTTTAGTAAAAAAAAAAGCTAAAATGCCTTGAATTTCGTATGAGTCGTTCGGGCATGGCAACACAATATTTTTTTTTATTTGGCCTAAATAGTATCAACATAATTTTTCTCCTCTAAATATATTACAAATACGTAATTCAATTGAATCTTGTTATTTTCATTATTGTAATTATAATAATTATTATAATTATAATAATTAATATTATTCATCATTAATATTACTGTATATTTTGAGCTTCCATTTTAGTCCATAGGTTTTCAATAGAGAGTCAGTTGAAATCTAGTTTTTAAATAACAATCAATAGCATTAATTAATAATAACAATTAAAAATTATAATACTAACAATAACAATAATAATAATAAGATTTATAAAGTGCACATATCCACTACAGCAGTGCTAATTAAAGGCACAACAGAAGGAACCAAAAATTACTGCAAATCTGAAAATAAACATCTTTGAATTGTTTTAATGCATTTTCTACGGAAGCACCTAAGTGCCATTCGACTTGACGACTTGTCAAGATAATTTATGTTGTCAAGTCGACATAACATACATATCATGTCGACATGGCGAGATAGATTATCTTGACAAGTCG